TCGTCGATCCGACTTCCTCAGGAGATTCTAACTTCTTCCCAGCCTTCTCTCGTTTAAATGTGCTGGTGCGGGCGTCTTGTCTTGTGATCGCGCATGCCGACGTCACAAGCACCATCATACATAATGACGCGCGGGCAGCCGATGTGCGCATGCGCGACCACACTGGAACACAGCTAAACTTTATTGATAATTTACACAGCCGCACAAAGATCGCTCCAAAGAAAAGGAGCGATCAATTCTACTGTGGTCTGAGTTTACAGCCCTTCCTAAAAACAAACTTGTCATAACAATATAAAATTGGGATCCTTAAGGTCATGTAAATCGGACTACATATAATATTATGCCTATAATGGGCATAGTCATTAATAAAAAAATGTAGACAAAAATATAAATGTTTATATGTATATATTTAAAAAGTCCATTTACATGCCTAACCATTATTCCAAAACCATAATGTTTATCAGCTGAGAACAAGTGTACATTGTTGAATCAAGATATAATAAATGTCCATATATATTAGACTAATTGCAAACATAGTGGTGAAACATATATAGGAGACATATATGCAAAAAGATATGTTATCACAAAGTCATAAGGGTAATATTATACATAGTGTAGCACCAAGGTTAAAAAATTATATATATATAGATCCATGCAAATCTCATAAATACATAAAGGACAATTAAGTTATGTTTAAAAGACCAGTATATTCAAAAGACAATAAATTAAAAATTAAAAAGACAATTGTAGTTTATTATTGGAAAAGAGGAACTTATTAAAAAGCAATACATGCTAAAAGACATATAATAAAATGTGCAGAACTGAGAAAATCATATTGAACCAAAAAGCTTTGTTTTAAGAGAAGATAAAAGGGATATAAAGGGAGAGAAATGTTAGTATCAAATCAGAACATTTTTAATCAATAAAGGTCCGTGTTGAGACCTGAGGGGACAGAGGTTTTCATTTTATATATCCACTCTGTCTCCCTCATCGCTAACATTTTTTCTGTATCCCCACCTCTCCAGTGTGGTATAATCATATCAATCCCAATACATAAAAAATCTTTAAAACTAAACTCGTTACAGGAAATACAATGTCTAGGGACACTATGTTTCATACTCTTTTTATTGATTCCATTAAAATGTTCTAGTAATCTCACCTGTAATTTCCTAATAGTGTGTCCTATATATTGGACTCCACATTTACATTGTAATAAATATACCACAAATTTGCTTTGGCAATTTATAAAATGCTTTATTTTAAAACTGTCTCCCGTAGTTGAACTGAAAAACTTAGTGGTCTTATTAGCCTGAAACTTGCATGTGCACCTCCCACATCTATAAAGGCCTTTTGGTTTTGTTGACAAAAAATTATTATGATTCTCTTTCTGACTCTCCTTCTTCGGTAATATACTAGGGGCCAAAATACTCTTTAAATTATTTGTTCTTTTGTAAATCATCCTAGGGTTCTTTGGTAAAACCTTATTTAAATACTTATCTTGTAACAGGATTGGCCAATTTTTACGAATAGACTTCTCTATTAGATTAGCTTTACTATTGTATTTTGTAAGAAAGGCACAATCAAAGTTATTACCTGTGTTTTTTTCTTTCTACCTGTTAGAAGGTTATCCCTTCTTAAACCCTCAACCCTTCTCTGTGTATTTGACAGAAGGTCCTCTGGATAATGTCTATCTGAAAATTTCTTATTTAAAATCTGCTCTTGTTCTTTAAAATCTTCTTTAGCTGTACAATTCTTAAAAACTCTCATGTGCTGTCCCTTGGGAATGTTTGTCAGCCATTTCTTGTGGTGGCAACTTGAGAATTCGATAAAACCGTTCCCATCGGTAGGTTTAAAAAAAGTTTTTCTTTGAACTTTCCCCTCCTTCACAATGTCAAATCTAAAAAATTAATATGGGTTTTTGAATTTCCTCTGTAAATTTCAGGCCATAAGTGTTTGAATTAATATAAGTTAAAAATTCTTCTAAAATACTTCTTCCACCCTTCCAGATAATTAAAACGTCATCAATGTATCTTTTCCACTGCACCAGGTTCGCACCGAAGGGTTATTTTGCTAAATGTGCCGGGATTCCCAGTCTGCCACAAAAATATTGGCATAACTCGGTGCGAACCTGGTGCCTATCGCTGTCCCACATGTTTGGAGGTAATATACTCCCTCAAACCAGAAAAAATAGTGGAACAGAATGAACCTGATGAGATCCAAAATAAAAACTGCCTGCTCTTGATGTATCCCCTGATCATTATTTAAACCACTTTGGACAGCCTTTATACCCTTCTCGTGATCTATAACGGTATAGAGATAGGTTACGTCTACCGTTACCCAAAGGTACTCCTCCTCCCATTCAAAATTCTCCAACTCTTTGATAATTTGTGCAGAGTCCTTTGTATATGATCTAGATTGTATTACATACTTTTGCAAGAAAAAATCAATATACTGAGAGATTACTTGTGAGTGAACCAATGCCACTGATGATGGGTCTGCCTGGTGGGGACATAAGACTTTTATGAACTTTTGGCAAGTAATAAAAGACGGCTGTTTGGGGTGTAATAAAAAGGTAATCAAACTGATTCTTGTTTATTATCTCTTTGTGCAATCCATCATTTAGAACTTTCCGCAATTTTTCTTTACAAACAATCATTGGGTTACTTTTTAAAATCTCATAAGTGCCAGAATCCCCTAATATTCTCTGGGATTCTTTCATATACTCATCTCTTTTTAAAATTACAATACTTCCCCCTTTGTCCGCCTGTCTAATCACTATCTCCTTATTATCTTTTAATTGTTTCAAAGCCTGTTTTTCTTTCTTTGTTAGATTTTCTTTACCTTTGTTCTTGGTAATCTTTTCAAACTCACTCATAATCATCTCACTGAACACGGGAATATAATCTCCCTTTTCCCATGTTGGGAAAAATTTGGATTTATTTTTCTGACCGGAGTGGATTATCTCAGGTTCTATAATCTCTTCATATGGTAGAATTATATTCTTGATGGGGATATTAAAATTAGCCCCTTGGTCAATGTCTATCTCTTTTTTCTTTTCAAAAAACCTTTTAATTATTAATTTCCTTAAAAACCTTTGTGTGTCTATGAACAGTTCAAACATATTTGAATCAGTTTGTGGCCCTTTATTTAAAACGTTCAATTGTTCCATACTTAAAACTTCTTTAGACAAGTTAAAAATACCTTCGGTGCTACTTTCTTTTTCTAGTCTGACATTTCTCCTTCCTCTGGCTCCTCTAGGCCTCCAGTTGCTCCTAAGAGCTTCCTTTTCTTGGGAAAGCATTCCAACACCTATTACTCTTGGGCGGCAGCAATAACTTTAGTATTCAACACAAAAATTACATAGAATAACTATTGAAAAAGTTATTGGCTATGTCTTTCTAAATCCATAGATCACAATAAAGGGAGCCATTCTATGATTTAAAACAGCTCTGTAACTGCTATCCTCCAAATAAACTATTTCTTTATCCTGTTCAAGAGCTCTTAGTCATATTTTTTTTAACCAATGCAGTATTTATTACATCATACCATATTTCTGTAAAGTGTACCATTGTATTTTATATCACATGCTTTCTTATGTTTCTCAATATTTTCTCAATATAATAGTTATCTTAATTTACTTATTTGGGTTTTGCGCAAAACTTTTTCCTCTTGAATCTGTCCTCACAACTGTATTTACCATTTAGGAAACAGCTAGATCATGGTTTCAATGAGTTGAATCACAATTGTTGCTGACAATCCGCAATCCTCTGGTCATGGTCTACATCTAGCAGAGGGTGTGCGGGACTCAATCTTACTATTGCCTGTGCACCGACAATATTCTTTCCAAATGATATCACAGTTAACTAAACTCCTCTGTCAAACTCTACTGCTGAGATTATTTCCACACAGTGTCCTCCGCAGTTGCCTGGGCTACACAAGTTTTTAAAGACTCCCTATGGGTACTCATTTGTTCCTTTAAGTCATTGGAACCTTCAGAATTATATATTTACCCATTTACAACACTTTCTTCGGACACACAATCCTGCAGACACATGGTCTATCTCTCAGACTTCTAGTCCTCTGGATACACAGTCCACCTCTTGGACACTCATTCTGTTAGAGGGCACAAAGTCCACTGATCAATAAGCAAGATTTGGATTCAGAAACATCAAAACAAGTCTCATATCACCTCCCACCATAACACTCAGGGCATTCAACAAGTTAATCTAATGCCATGTTACAAAGTAATGGCTTACCTTTTTATTGAAAGGGTCAAGCAGAGATGGGTTTAGCTACCATTTCATGATGTTATGATTGTAGACACACATTTCTCTGGATAACAACAAAATCATGACCAGAGATTCCCAACCAAAAGTTGTTTATTGATCTTATACAGAATGTAAAGCCGACAGTCAACAGGAAGATTCCTAAACTGAAATCCTGGCAATAGGAGATCACTTGCAAACATTTTTATAGTAAAACCATAGTTATTACCCAGGAACCTTAAACAAGTATATCATATGTTATGTTTCTTAGATTAACATTAATTAAAATTAGTTTCAGCATAGTAACTTAAAGCTAAACTTCCTCAAAATTAACTGATCATGAGCAGATTTTTCTCTCTAATATTCTAAACATCAGCAATATAAAATTAATTCTAGTCATATATCTCCAGGACTCTATACTCACACTTTACATTCACACCAGCCACATGCCTCACATCTGCTGCTCCTTTACTGCCCATCACAAGAGAGTTCTCCTTTTCAGTTCAACACAGTTCACTACAGTCTCGAAAAACAGCCTTCATGACTGCAGTTAGTTTGAAGAAGAAGTTAAAGAGACACTATAATCACCAAAACAACTTTAGGTTAATGAGGCAATTTTGGTGTATAGATCATGCCTCTGAAGTTTCACTGCTCAATTCACTGCCATTTAGGAGTTAACTCACTTTTGTTTCTGTTTATGTAGCCCTAGCCACAACTCCTCTGGCTGTGACTCACACAGTCTACATATAAAAATAGTTTCATTTTCAATCAGATGTTAACTTAGTTATTCAGAAGTTTATATCTCCTGCTTCCAAATTGAACTTTAATTACATACAAGAGCATCCTGCAGGGTCTAGGAAGCTGTTAACAGAGCTGGAGATAAGAAATTCTAGATTAAACAGGCTTTGAAATAGAGGAAGTGTAAACATTAGATAACTCTATACAGAATGTGTTTAAGAAGGCTATGCAAGTCACATGTGGCGATGTGTGACTAGGGCTGCATAAACAAAGTGATTTAACTCCTATATGACAGATACTTAAGAAGTGAGACTGGATGGTCATAATCTACAAACCAAAACTGCTTCATTAAGTTGTTTAAGAGACTCTAGTGTCCCTTTAAATCTTTTATACAGAATTGACAGAAATGAGTTCAGAGACCATACGGCACTTAGGCCACATACATCTTGGCACTTAGGCCACATAAATCTTTTAAGCATAGGGTTTGCTAACATGTGCATGCAGATGAAAGTGTGTGTAATTTTACAAATTTTGTAATTTTAACTAAATGTCTACAGTTCTAGAACAGCCTCCAGCGCAGGGTCAGCTTTTTGGCTTGAAGTGTTAGCTGTTGAGAGTTAAAAAATAATCAAGCAAATAGATCTAAATGTAAAATATAAATCTGTCCATTTATTTTTTTCATGTATACTATTGCTTTTTAGAAATGTATGGTGTTCATTTTGTCTTAAAAAAACCTTTTAATGCATTCTTAATCATTTGGTTTCTTAACGTATAAATATATGGGTTTAGAAGTGGATTTAAAATACTATTGATTACAGTTACAAACATCTCTGAGGTGCTAGATGTAGTTCCTGCTGGCCGAATATAGAGGAAAATACAGCTTCCATAGTCCGTTGACACAGCTAGAAGGTGTGCCGAGCAAGTAGAGAATGTTTTTTTTCTTCCACTAGATGTAGATATTTTGAAAATAGAAGAGATGATGAAAGTGTATGAGAGCAAAGTGGGTATGATAGAAACAACAATACCAAATATCGTAGTGCATAAAAAAATGTATCCCACAAAACTAGTGTCGGAACAGGAAACATTTAAAAGTGCAGAACCATCACAGAAGAAGTGTTGAATGATGGTGGGTCTACCACAAAATGTTAACCTTGACAGGAAAATGAAAGTTGGAATGAACTTCAAGAAACCAAAAATCCATACACCAAGGATGAGTCTAGCACACACATGCTTGGTCATAAGAGCACTGTATCTTAAAGGATGGCAAATGGCAAAGTATCGATCAATAGACATCAGAGCCAGGGAACCAAACTCTACGGCACCAAAAGAGTAGTAAAAGAAGAACTGCGTAAGACAACTAGAGAAAGAGATATGACCATTGTGAGTTGCTAAGGAAGCAAGTAGCTTGGGGACAGTCGAAGACAAAAAGCAAATATCTACAACTGCAAGACTGCTGAGAAACATATACATGGGGATATGTAGTTTCTGGTCCATAGAGGTAGTGCTAATTATGACCAAATTACCCAACAGAGACATACAGTAAATAAAAAGCATCCCCACAAATGTTATTACCTCGATGTTAGCATTGCCAGAAAAACCAAGGAGTATAAAGTCTGTCTCATTGTAAGTAATCATTTCTATCAGATAAATTAAATGGAATTCAATAAGAAGCCACTCAAGATGTTAACTGTTTGGTGGAAGCACAAAGCTGTAAAATATCAGATGAGGCACAATATATAAAACATAAACAGGGGAAGATTACTTACAATGATGCAGTGGTATGTATACTAATATACACACAACAGCTGGCAAGTGCAGACGTTAACCAGATTAGAGAAATTCAACACTATCTCCCCCATGGAAGCATGATGCTCAAAATTGATTAATGGCAACATGATGTGAGCTGAAATTTATATACATGCACAAGACATCAACGACTCCATGGGAGCAATCAAAATAATTCTCAGAGGAGAATGGAAAGCACTCTCAGTGAAAGTTATAATGGAAAACGCAATACACTTTAACTCTTGCTAGGAAAAAAAGAAATCTTATGTATTTTGAAAATATTTTACTTCATGTTTATTAAAATCATCCAGCTTGGTGCCATATAAATATATACAACGGTGTCCAAAATGTGTTTTTTAGTGACTAAACCTGACAGTTTTATCTCCATTAGGTTTTGCTAGGTTTTCTGTCACTTTCTATGATTACCTATGTCTGATTAGGCCCATACACAGAAAGCTTCTGCAGCGATCTCTGTATAGTCTGTTTAACCGCTTAAGGACACATGACATTGGTGACATGTCATGATTCCCTTTTATTCCAGAAGTTTGGTCCTTAAGGGGTTAAGGGGGCAACCAGATAGACTGTTAGTCAGCCTGGTGTGATTGTTGCCAGACTGACACTCCCCTTAAGTTGGTAGATATGGGTGAGTACGTGGAAAGAAGTGGTAGGCAACCTTCGGCACTCCAGATGTTGATGTTGTGAAGTACATCTCCCATGACACTTTGCCAGCATTGTGTCTGTAGGAGCATTGTGGAAGAAGTAGTCCACAACATCTGGAGTGCCTAAGGTTGCTTACCTCTGGCCAAGGGTATCTAACATAAAGCTTTCTTTGTCCTCTTCAAATACAATTAGAGTGGGGCTCGGAATATTAGAGTTTCTTTCTTTTCTATACCTAGTTCCATCCATCACCCAGTGGCAATATATCCAAAACGTTCATGAGGTTTTGATCACTCTGCATGTGGCACTTCTCTAACTTAGGTATATAGGTATGCTTGTCTTGATTCTGATTACAAGTCAAAAATGAATGCACACTAGAATGTGGCTAGTCTGTTCCAGTTCCTATTGTGCTCAAAATGGAATCTCTGTCCACAATGACATGCAATTATCTTATCCTGTGAACCTTTTATTTAGGGCAGGGAACAGATTGATGCATTGCTACGAGCCACATCAGGTTTCTATAATTCTTTATATTCCAGTACATGTAAAACATAAGGCTTTTTCAGAAAAGTCCTAATATTTGTTGTTGAGACACATTGGACGGATGCTCCTTCTTCCGTAAAGTTTTGATATATGCTTATCTATTTCTTTTAAATTTTTATGGGTTTTTTTCTTGCTCATTTTCTTACACCATGGTGTCTTGGTCTCAGATGTATGCTGGTATTTACCTTACTCATCTTACTTAAATGTTAATATTAAGGCAATCTAAGCACTCTTCACATTGACAGAGGTGTATAGTCAAAGAAGATGGGCCTGTAATATTTTTTTACTTAAATATAGTCTCCACATTCTCTTGGTAATCTGGAGTGTTGCTAGTAACGTGTTTATTTCTTCCATGCTATAGTTCCCAAATAGATTTAAAGAACCCTAAACCTAATTTGAATATAAGCAAACATATTTTGTTTTATTTTATTATAATAAAATTTAATGTTTAATAGGTAAATGGTGTATGAACAATCCAAACATATAATAATAATAAACCATTTGTCAGGTGATGGTTCTATGTTATTACCCGTATATACTCAAGTATAAGTCGACCCGAATATAAGTCGAGACCCCTAATTTTACCCAAAAAAACTGGGAAAACGTATTGACTCGAGTAGAAGACTAGGGTGGGAAATGCAGCAGCTACTGGTAAATATCTAAATAAAATTATATCACAAAAAAATTATATTAATTGAATATTTATTTACAGTGTGTGTATATAATGAATGCAGTGTGTGTGTGTGTGTGTGTGTGTATATAATGCAGTGTGTTTGTATGAATGCGGTGTGTGTGAGTGCAGTGTATGTGTGTATGAGTGCAGTGTGTGGGTGTATGAATGCAGTGTGTGTGTGTATGAGTGCGGTGTGTGTGTATAAATGCAGTGTGTGTGTGTATGAATGTAGTGTGTGTGTATGAATGCAGTGAGTCTGTGTGTATATAATGCAGTGTGTTTGTATGAATGCAGTGTGTGTGTGTGTATGAATGCGGTGTGTGTGTGTGTGTATGAGTGCAGTGTGTGCGTGTATGAATACAGTGTGTGTGTGTGATGCAGAGTGTGTGTGTGTGTGTGTGATGCAGAGCCTTGGTGGGGGATGGGCCTTTTTATTATTTTTTAAAAATTATTATTATTTTAATATTATTATTTTTTATATATATTTTATTAATATTTTATTAGCATTTTATTACTATTTAAATTTTTATTTATTTATATTTTTTTTGTCCCCCTCCCTGCTTGTTGGCTGGCCAGGGAGGGGGGCTCTCATTCCCTGGTGGTCCAGTGGATGGGCTGTGTAGGAGGGGGGCTGGCAGCGAGCTGTTACTTACCTTTCCTGCAGCTCCTGTCAGCTCCCTTCTCTCTCCTCTGGTCCGGTCAGCTCCCCTGTCAGCTCCACTGTAAGTCTCGCGGTCTGAGTGCCGCTCGGATCGTTGCCACGGTAACCCGTGGAAATGCTCTGACCCCACGGCTCCAGCAAGACTTGCAGGGGAGCTGACAGAGGAGCTTACCGGAGGAGAGAGAAGGGAGCTGACAGGAGCTGCAGGAAAGTTACAGCTCGCTGCCAGCCCCCAACAGGACCGCCGGGCTTGTAATGAGCCCAGCGGTCCTGGTCTCTATTATGGCAATGCAAGTTGCCATAATACAGACAGTGACTCGAGTATAAGACGAGTGGGGGTTTTTCAGCACAAAAAATGTGCTGAAAAACTCGTCTTATACTCGAGTATATACGGTACTTAACTTGTGCATTTATTCTCAAAAAGCAACAAATTTTGACTGATTGGAGGGTCCAAACTTTACAAGCTAAATTAAACGACTTACAAAGCCAAGTTGATAGCCAAGTTGATACTTTACGTTTACATGCTTTATCCCTTCACAACGAATCTACAGTGTATCTCCCTATAAGATTTTCTGGGGATCGTGCCTCTTTTAGAGGATTTATTCATGAGTGTATATTAATCATTGCTCTGAGGCCAAGGACTTACATCAATGATGATATCAAAATAAAAACGATAATCTCCCTCCTAGAAGGAGATTCAGCTAAATGTGCGTATCAACTGATTGAAACTATGGATCCCTGTCTTTCCTCTCTTTACCTCTTTCTTAAGGAGATGAATAATCTCTATGCAGGGGCGTACATACCGCGGTCAAATGGGGTTGCAGCTGTGACCGGGCCCTTCACTTCAGGGGGCCCGGCCGCCCTGTGGACCCCTGTGACCGGGTGCCCGCCGCCATGTGTTGCAGCCCCGGACGTACAGTATAATTGCCGGGGCCGCAGGTGAACAGGCCCATCAGGTGGCCCATGCTGTTAGGGCCACCCGATGGAAATGAATATCATGGATCAGTTTTGCACCGGGGCCCAATGGATTGTGTGTACGCCACTGTCTCTATGATAATGTGAACAAACAAGACAATGCAGAACCCCAATTGCATTCCCTCTCACAAGGAGGTGGTAATGTTGAGGAGTACGTCTCACATTTCAGAAGGCTGGCATCAGATACTTCAGGGAACGAAGCAACTCTAAAGTATCAGTACAGGATTGGTTTGTCTAATTACTTACGAGATGAACTCTCTAGAATTGGAGTACCTGACACCCTCAAAGCACTAATGGATTTGACCATCCAACTGGACCGCAGATTGAGAGAACGACGCAAGGAGTGGAATCCCTCCTCACTTACCCCCAAACCTATTGGTTCCAACACCCCTCTTTCTACTTCTAGTGATGGAAGATGGTACCTTTAGAGGCCCTTTAACTACAGAAGAAAGACTCAGATGAAGAAATCTTAATTTTTGTATGTACTGTGCTTCAAAAGAACATCTCCTGGACACCTGTCCTCTCCTAAAAGATTCAAAGAGGGGTATGAAAAAACTTGAATACACCATATTGAATACATCTCCTAAAACAACTCTATTGATTCCGGTGCTGCTGGAACATTTATTGATTCAACTCTAGTTTCAAAAAATAAAATTCCTTACATTCGAAAAACTTCCTTTATCTCCATTAGAGTGGTTGGTCGTTCAAACATTTCATCTGGTCCTATTAAAGATGAAACCATCCCTCTAAAAATGACTACTGAAATTAATCACAATGAATATTTGAAATTCGACATTGTGAAATCACCTTTATTTCCCGTCATACTTGGCATGAACTGGCTACAACTTCACAACCCTCATATTCAGTGGTCTCCTATCGCCTATGTACAATTCAAATCCAAATTTTGTAATGAAAATTGTAATCCTCATCTTCCTCTACTTCAAATTACTGATAAGATAAAGATACCTGAACACTATAATGAATTCAAGGATGTCTTCAATTAAATTGAAGCTGAGTCTTTACCTCCCCATAGGATATATGATTGTCCTAATGATCTTCTTCCTGGAGCTGCTATACCTTTTGGGCCTCTATATCCACTTTCTGAACCTGAACTAAAAACTCTTAAAGGACCACTATAGTCACCTAGAACACACTTTAGTTCAATGAAGTGGTCTGGGTGCCAGGTCGCCC